CATAAGATTTTATTTGTAGCCAAAAAAAAAAAAAATTATTGAAAAATACCTATAATGTTTTACAAAATATTACAAAATAAAATGTTGATTAAATCAGGTATTTCAATGAATTTTCATTAAACGATATTAGTTAATTAATTGTTATCCATAAATAATTGGTCATAGTGTTTTGAAACATTTACTAAATACTTATAAATTATATTAGCATTTTAACAATTATTCATATTTTCGTAATATATTAATTACATCTTCACTGTTAAAAAGCACTTGAAATTTTAGAAATTTCTACATTTTAGATGGTTTTTTTTTTTGAATAAATTAAATTCTGGTGCCTAAATATTAAATAATACAAAATATTTCACATGTATTAATAAAAAATTTGTCCGCAATAAGTATAACTGACCATCATAACATTTTATACGATACATAATACTATCACCTCGAAATAATATCTTAAGATACGGCAATTATTATAATTATCTTTGTGGCGTCATCGTTGAAAAATTTAACGGACTGTATAATGTGAAACACATTTTATGTCGTACACTAAACGCATTACCAAAGAAATATTATAATTCATCTTTCAATGTTTGTTTTGTGCGATAGTATTTTTATGTACATAACTGTTGCAGAATATTCTATAAACGTTCCAAACGATTTATTAATCGAATTATGTGTTTTTAAGTTGCAATCTATAGACCAGTCTTATATAATATGTAGTCGAAATGTATATAGACATAAAGTACGTCGTATAGGAACTATGCCAGTCTTAATTATTTTCGGAATATAAGAAGAAATACGCATACTCTTAGTACATATAAATATGTACTCGTATGTATGTGTGTGTGTGTGTGTGTTTATATTTCAATTTCTTTATTTTTCTTCCTCTCGCCTTACGCGTTATTTATATCATCGTTCGCGTTCACGATCGGATTAAACTTTGACAATATTTTATTCGTCTATACCGAAAGAAAAACAGAACAAATATCGTTACATTAATTATTAAGTTATACACAATATATTATACGTGTATGTACGAACAACGGATCTGATGGACGGCGAACGAGAGTGCGTGTGCGGGCTACTTTATCCAAGCGTGACAGTTAGAGAGACTGGCAGCCGTCAGAAAACGTAAAATTTATTATTGTGGATTCGTAGGATTTTTGTAATTATTCGAAGATCTATTGCGGCGCTAAAGAACGTGTACTGAGGATAGCGAAATCCGTAAGAAATATCAGTTACCTCACTCTAACGTTTTCTGATAATCCATTATTAAAAAAAAAAAAAAAAACCAAAAAATCTATCAGGCACTTTATAACTTTGCATATATTTTTTTTAATTAATCGCGTTCTTCAAATTCACAACACTATCATTTGAAAAAAGACTTCATCCTAACAAATAATAATAACGTGATTGGCGTACACATATAATGTACTAATTGTTTTAATAAATTGTAAATAATTTATCAACGTATTATTTTTTTTAATAAAGTTCCAATTCGTTTTAGCCCAAATATGCTACCACTAATATGGTGTTTAAGGTTTTTTTTTATCAATACAACTAATAGTGAACGTACCGTACAATTAGTATTGCATCGAGGCTAAATTTGGTGTGTGTGTACACATTATAAAATTTTGATAATTTTCTTTTCTTATATAGCATACCGAAATAACCAAGTTACTCAGTTTTTCTTGGAAATCAGATTTAGGAAAAATGGTTAAGGATAAAATAAACAAAAAATTCTTACTTCTTATATGTGAAAAGTCCTGGATTTTCACATAGCTATAGCTTGCACAAATCACATAGGTCCACGGTAAAAATATACTACGATCGTACCATCGTGTTAATTCAACGGGATCGGTGCAAAATAGTATCCGGATATCATGCGATTAAGATGACGTTTTTGTCCGATGTATACAAGTATGTGCGTATATTACAAATAAGAACAATTACTATTGAACGATTCGAGTGTGTTCGCCATTGCAACGAAATAATTTCGTATAATTTATAAATACACATATTAGTGATAAGTGGAGCGACAACTCCGTGCGAAAAGATGTGCTGACAACCGGCCACCGATCGTTTCTTTTTGATCCGGAGGCGGCAAACGTTGTTGGTGGTGAGTGAAAGCGGCGGCGTTTTAAATTTACACCAACGCGACACATCTGGCAATCCGTAGACCATCGGAAACACGACGACGGATTTATTTCCATTTGGTTTTTGATAGTATAATATTATTCGACCGGACGTACGTTGCATACAATATTATACCACCCGAAATAGACAGTAAGAAATTCGTCAATTTCATAGGTACACGTATAAAAATAATATTATTAGGCGTACCTAATAGTATACGTATACACAAAACATTATATTCGTATTTCGATTTCATAGAGCGTATAAGTACAAATATATATATATATATATATATATATATATATATATATATATATATATATATATATATATATATATATCGATGGTAGTGCTCTGCAAGGTCCGTTATTTTAAGGACCAGACCGGACTTCAGATTTTACCAGGGGACCGGAGTCGGACCGGACCACATTTAAACGTTTATCAAAAACCAAAATTGAACCGAACCGACGGCTTCATATTATTTTTAGACCGGACCGGATCAGTAATTAAATAACATTTAATAAAGTAGACCGTGAACCGGACTGTCGGTCTGATCTTAAAACATTTTGGACCGTTTATGGACCGGTCCGTAAGGTTCAGTCTGTATTAGCCCAGACAGTACCATATGATGCGTTTAATATTACACTGGACCGGACTACTCGACTTTATAAATAAATATATACCTAAATTTGTAGGTTTTTTCGTTTTATTTGTTTACATAAAAATATCTGTATTTAGATTTTAAGTTCCATGATTGAGACCGGACTGAGACCAAACCGGACTGAAAATAATGCATTTGATCTAAGGACTGGACCGAAATATTCCTAAAAATTATTGAACCGGACCAAACCGACGGTTCAATAATTTTTGTATGTTGGGACTGTACTAGACCGGACCATGCAGAGTACTAACCGATGGCGTAGCGCACAAGTTTAATAAGTGACATTTTCGTAATTGTTCAGGGGAACGATTTTTTTAGTTTGAGCTCTTATAACGATTCAAAAATGTAACGAACTGTAATGAACATTTTGTTATATTTTCCTTGACATGTAATGAGTAATTACACTGCAATTACCACATTTGTATTCTTAAAAAAAAATATTGTACTTAACACATTTTGTGCACGTAAAAAGTAATACTTGAACAGATCACATTTTTCTTCTAATTTCAATAAAGAACAACAATTATTTGAGTAATGTTATAATTTCGTTTGTGCATAATGTGCAGAATTGTATAATTAAATATGCACTTAACTCATTTTTCAAAAAAATGTCACTTATCACACTTGTGCGCTACGCCATCGATTAAGCTTGTTAGTCGACGGAATACTCAGAATGTCGCAACATAATATAGTATAAATATTGACATACTTCTGAGCACGCGTAAATACAACTTTTGTTTCTGTCTTCAGTATTTACCATCTAAAAAACAAATTATTTTAGGGTGAAAAAAATTGTATATTTATATTAGTTGAGGTTTAAAAATCAAGAATAATATTAAAAAGATGAAAATATAATTTTTTATATTTTTATTAGATACTTTCCTTCGGAATTATAATCTTAGAAGAAAATATTATATTGGACATTTTTACTATTTTTTTCTCAATAATAGTCGAGCTATACTAAAATATTGTACTCTAAGAATGAAGGATGATACTATATAGTACACTCAAATGTCTTAGCATTATAATTATAGTTACTCTGAATTTAATGTTAAATATCCTTGAAGAACATACCTATATGTTATAAAATATTTCAGTTGTTGCATGACAACTCATTTTTCTATAAAAATGTTAATTTGAGAAAAATAAACGTTTAATTTAAAAAGGTTTTAAATAAATAATGTAAGTTGGATAAAATTCAATTTCGGTTCTTGTGAACAGACGGTAATTTGAAAATATTTAAAAGCAAATATATATTTTTACATTACCACTGGTACACAGTATTTTTATATTGGCTGTCATATAAACTTCAATACCAAGGTCTTTGAATTTGAGTAAACGCATACGTATGTAATATCGTGAATGTATTGTTAATATTATATATCGATGTATCCTATTTAAATCGTATTAAACAGTAAAAAACTAAATCATCATACGTTCCAGCAGAGAAACCGGTGAAAGATGTAATAGAGTAAGACGACGTTTGTATAATGCATATTATATATTAATAATAATCAAATGTGAAATCGTATAATTTCGTTTATATATACATAAAATATAATAAATACATGATACAAATAAGAAATTATTTACAAGTGTTAAAATTCATAGTACATTTTGACGAGTGAATACATACATTATTATTATAACAAAACATGGTTAAATGTATGTTACAAATGCGTATTGCAGACATCATAAGTTATCGTACGCCGTATCGCTTGATTGGTATACCAAAAACGAATTTTACATCAAAAACAAACATTAATATATAATCAAGTCCATAGGCCCTACATGTGTATTTTTATTTTATACTTAGTACATTTTAAAACTATTGGTTGCATTCTTTAAACCAAACAATTTGTGTGGTGTGAAAAATATTTAAATCGAATAACATATTATTACTAACAATATATATTATATAAATTTTATGACAGGCTACTTTGTGTTTAAAGAATTTGACTTGTCTTTTTAATAAATAATAGTTATTTTACATACATTATTGTAACCTTATGTATGCATTAAATATAATAAGCAAATTTCATGCATTTTACATAAAAAATTAAAATTTAAGATATTTTAAGAGATAAACAATAAATTCTTTGCCAATTAAAATTAATTATGATTCCATTTTAAATGCATAACATATATCTGTATATAATAAAAATTAAATTGTTTAGTACTCGCTATGTTTTAAAAAATGATTTACCTACTAAACTATATTTACCGTTTTAGTTCGTGGAAATTTTGAAAATTAATTTATTTTCGGTTTTTTTTTTAAAGTATTGCACAAAGATATGTAATTTATTTTATTTTTTCTACCTACTATTATTCTCTTGTATTTAACATGGAAAATAAATGGACAGCTTATTTAATGGTATCAATAATATATTACAATTATAAATATAAAGTTGATGTAAAATACGTTCAAGGCACATGTACGTAGTTTTTTAAAGTCACAGGTACGATAAGAACCAATATTTATTATCTATAACTAAATTTATACAATACATAAAATATACATTGGAAAATAACTAAAGCAAGTACAATTTTTCATAGATTACAGAATGTATACGTATAGATACACGAAATTCTATATATAAATAACATAAAAAAAAATCACATGTAGGTATACTGAAAGAAAATAAAGACTACAAACAAGATTGTACGGTGGGACGTATAAATATATATAATAAGTGGAAAGAAAGAAAACAAATGTATGATACACGACGAGAAGTATGTAATCTAGTCGAGAACGACGAGACCTTATTGATTGTATTACCGACGAAAGAATAATAATTATTCTTAATATTGCGGATTAAAATGACCCTTACTGAGACCAGAGTTTTATTATGCACATTATTTACAAAGGGATCTGGCTACGTCGATTGAGATGATGAAAAACTAACGTGTTTTTAAACGTTGAATTACATGTCAATCGTGTAATTCAGAGTTCACGTGGTAAAAATTAATTATAATGTACTCGTATAAATACGTATTACGCAGTTATAATGTGCGAGGTGTATTAGTACAAGTAATTATACTTGCACGGGAAAGAGCTGACTCAAAAACTATCAGAATTATACGACTCGTTTTATTTGGTACGAAATCTAAAAAGTGTTAACATACACCAAGTTGTTACATGCACACAGTACATCAGTGCATTATTTTTTACTTTTTTCATATAAGTCAATAAAACTTTTGTGTAATTTAACTGTTGATTTCAATAGTTTTACTAACAGTTATGGTAAAAGAACTCATTATTACAGATATTGTTACTATTACGTATAATATAATACAAAAAATGTCGTAGTACCAAGAGTACTTGCACGACACCATACTCATCGACTGGTTTGAGGTGAACTATTGGATTCGATACAATATGCGATATCGTTGAACAGTTGTAGAGAAATTGCGTGCGCAAAAGTCCTGTGTCGGGATGGGAGGAGAGAAAGGACGAATTATAACAGTAATGTACCTACGTATATAAACACACACACACACACACACACACGTACTAACACACATTCACGCATATACACACGCACGCGCGGCGAAGGATAGATAGATGGATATACGCATCGTATTCATTGTATAGTGTACACACGTCCGTCACCTGATAAGCCTAGTCGGCGGACGTTTTCCGGAATGACAGCCAGGAGAGCAGTAGCAGCAGCATCGGGCAAACCCCATGTGGTTCGTGTCTCTTAGGTGAATTTTTACTGTTTTTTTTTTTTTTATTTTTCTTTTTTGTCTTCCTGCTAGCAATCGTACAGTCGTGCCCGTCGTCCCGGCATCAGTGCCGTCGGTGTCTTTCCACCGCAGGCTTCTCATGCGGACGAGTACAATTTGTTCGTCTGACAGCTCCTTCCCAGTTCCCCGCGGTCGTGTCGTTGTCATTGTCGTCCTGTAAACAGCACACACATACGTACACGTATACTTACACATTTACTACAGTGTACGCGGCGGTAAAACAACACGTGTCAGTGCACACTCTATTACGGACTTGTATACATTTATATAAAAATAATTATGTACGCCGCCTACTTATATACGTATATATGGATAGGATATATCGTGTACGCATATTCCGCGCGTGACACATTTAATAGTGTCGTCTGATCGTCAACCTTGCGGCTGCGCGTGACGAGGGTTCGATTGGCCTGTGTACGGATGTACAAATAAATGTCTGATGACGGCAGCGTGACGGGCGGACGATATGTGTGGAGTGTACCGAAGGGAAAACCGGAGAGAGTGGAACTTCAGGGATCCACGGAGGAAGGCACGCAAAATATTTCGAACCGTCACGAAAACGAGAAACGGTCTTTTTTTCTCCTCGCATAGTACGCGCACAGCAGTTATTATTCTTTTGAGTGCGTACAGTTAGACGAATCACAGGATCACGTGAGACTCGTAATTAATTACCGCGTACGTCGCACACAAGTATTATGCAGCGTGCGCGTAATATATGTTTCTGTTTCGAAGATCAGAGTTTTGTGATAAAAATACCGAAAGAATAGTCAGGACTATTATTATATATTATCGCGCAGCAATTTAGTGCACAACAGTTGCTTAATAATAATAAACGTACGTAATCTTACTTCGTATTTGTACAGCACCGCCACGCACACTTCAAATGGATTCAGACGTTTTAAAAGCGTGGTAGTGGCATCGGAGATTAGGCGAGGGCTAATATATAAAGAATAAGAGCTACGAGCCATCTGCATACGTGTTCTAAATAGAAATCGGAAAAAATAAAAGAAATCGGCTGAACAAAATGTACGCACTTGTAAGGGTTCTTTTTTTTTTTACCGTATAACCGTATACTTTAAAACTTGATTGTTACGGATCAGCGTAACAAATGTACTAAAAAGCTAAACGGTTTCGCTCTTATTTTGATTAAACAATTATTTACGATCATAATATAATACAGACATTCGAATTTGTTTAACGTAATACATATTTCAAATAATATCGTAAATTATAAAACAAGTGCTGAAACTAAATATGAATACTATAATGCCGATGAGGTTTAGTTTTAATATACTTTCATGTGGATATACTAAATTAAATTAAACTCATATTGATTTTCTTAATAATTCAAAAACTATACGTAAATTACAAAAATCGGAAACCATCAATTCATCAGAAATAATAGTTCGTTGTTATTAATATTTTCTGTTGTCAGCCCGTGTGACGGTATGAAATTACTTTTTTGATATATGGAGATATTATTTCAGAAATAATATTAAATACCAAGTGTGAAAAAGTAAGCAATTTTTTACTTTTATAACTTTTATAATTATTTCAATGAAACGTGTTATATGAATGCAATAGATTAACATTTTTTTTTTTTTTTTCATAAATAATAGAGGTTATAAGTAGAAAAGCATAATAAATCCTATAGTGCTGTAATAGTGATTATCGTGATAATCTAAAGAACTCATTCATAGCTCATTCATTTGTATACAATAATTATTTCAAGTTATATATGTACTCATCGAAGTATACAAAAAAAAATGAACTGTTACACCTGTATTAATTATACATTCATTGATGAAATGACTCACAGGAAGATGAAATTCTCGTCATTCACTTTGTTAGAAACGAATACAACACAATATCCGTAGAAAAAAACAATTTTTTCCAAGAATTTATTTATAAACTAACGAACAATAGCCATTCGTAAGCGTACAGATATTTAAAACATAATCCTCGAGAAATTCTGCTAAAATTACTTGTTTATATATTCATATTCAATCGAACCATACATTGCTTATATATAAGCACCGTGAGTATAATGCCGAACGAGTAAAGTTAGTAATGCAAATCACGTATGAACGATATTCTAGGCAGGTGCGTGCCTAGAGGAGATTGGATGTTTGAACCCCTACTCCCCAAAATTTTAACGAATTTAGAAAAAATTATTCTTTGATATTTTTAAAAAAATTATGTTCAATATGATAAACATTTGTCAGGGTCTATTGTCGGTCTATCTAATACTCTAAAATAAATTATTACCAAAATGTAATATAAATACATTTGAAATACTCGGTAGTAGAAATATTGAATCCCCCGAAAACCATTTCCAGGCACGCCACTGGTTGAATTATTCGTTATGATGTAAACTCACGTTATAGTTGTGATGAGAACTTGACCGACGAATTGCCGTTGTGCTGTTGCTGTTGCTGTTGCTGATGCTGCTGTTGCTGCTGCTGCTGCTGCTGCTGTTGCTGATAGTAGTTGTGCAATTGCGTATGGGTACCGGGGGTGATGTGTTGCGAATTGCGAAACGCGCAGCTGGCTGCCGTGGCCGCAGTCACAGGGTTAGGGACGACAGCGTCAAAGAAATCGGAAGGATCGGCACTGTACCAGCTGCCGGGCGGTCGATGGTGTCCAGCCGCGGCTGCCGCGGCTGCGGCAACGTACTGATGGTGGTGCGAGGCAAACTCGTCGCCGTGGTGGTGATGGTGGTGATCACCGGTGGCCGCTGCAGCGGCGGCCGCGGCTGCTGCCGCAGTGGTGGACATGTACCTGTGGTGGTGATGGTGCAGGTGGTGTCCGTTATTGCCACCACCAGCCGCGGCCACGGCGGTCGAGGGCGAATCGTCCTGGTGGTCGTTGTCGTACTGCAAGTGGTGGTGGTGCTGGTGGTACGCTGACGGCGGCGGTGGTGGAGGCGGTGGAGGTGCTGATGACGCAGAACCACCGGACGAAGGTGGTGCGGACTGGTCGTCGCCGGACGTCGGTTGATTGTGCGACTGCGGCACACCCGGCTCCTTCTTCGGCTGTTTAATGCAGTCCTGCTGCACCTGCTGTATCAGGTCCTTACCGCCGTTGCCGCCGCTACCACCGTGCAACAAAAGCTTGCACTGTTCTTCGGTGACCTTTTTCAGCATGAGCTCCTGCTGCCGCTTGATGGCCTCTTCCTTCTCCTTGAGCGCATCCTTCTTCTTGAACCGTCTCCGGCGCCGCAAGTACGATCCATTGTCGAACATGTTGTACGAATCTGGGTCCAGTGTCCAATAACTACCTTTGCCTGGTTTCTTATCGTCTCGCGGCTGCTTGACAAAACACTCGTTCAAGCTTAGGTTGTGCCGGATAGAGTTTTGCCAGCCCTGCTTGTTTTCCCGGTAGTACGGGAACCGTTCCATGATGAACTGGTATATGCCGTTCAGCGTGCACCGCTTGTCCGGTGCGTTCTGTATGGCCATCGCGATGAGCGCGATGTACGAGTACGGCGGTTTGACCATGTCCTTGGCCGCGGCCGCAGCAGCCGACACCACGTGATGGTGGTGGTGGTGCGAAGCCTGGTACCCGGCTGCCGGATTGTACCCGTACCGCGCGTACTGCTCGTACGCGCTCGGGTACGCGGCCGGATTCGACGTGCCCGGATACATACCGGTCCGGTAGTAGGCGTTTTGGTCGCCGAACAGTGTGTGCATGATCGTCAAAGGCGGTGCGCGATCGACGTGTTCGTACCGATCAGTTGATGATCATCAATCGCGTTACGTGTTCGCTGGTCGGCGCGTGCATGTAGCAGCGAGCTACGGAACAACGTACAGCTTAGCGGAGAAAAACCGGCACGACCGTTTTGTTCGTGTACGCCGCCGGCGTACGAGCCGAGTTGGCCGTGGTCGTTGTTGTTTTAAAATTAAAAATCGATTAGACGGGCCGATGGCGAGACGGAGAGAGATGTGGCGGCCCAGTTGTTCCGTGCCGGCAACACGGCAGCACACGTACGGTACGGAACGCGCACACTACCGATAAAAACGGACCTTTTTGGCGAAACTATCAAAACAACGCGGCGACGACAACGGAAACCAGCACGCGGACGTTCCGCTACGTAAACAACCCGAAAAAATCGTTTCTTCGCGCGTTCGCCACCACGCACCGCCGTCGCAGTCGCAATCGGGTCGTCGCAGTCGTCGCAGTCGTCGTCGCCGTCGCAGTCGCAGTCGTCATCACGCCCGCACGCCGAGTGCGTACCGGACGCACCACCGCCGAGCCGGGACCCGTTGTAGGTGGGACGGTGGACCGCCACCCCCCCGGTTAATCGTCGCGCGCTCCGATTGGCCGGCGCGCGGCACGCCCGCCGGCCAACCGGCTCGTTCGCGCTGTCACGGCCGAACGACCGGGGTGCGGTGCCCCCCTCCGTCGGGTGTCGCGCTTGCAACGATGTATCCGGTACGCGCGCGCGCG